GATGATGATGATGATGATGATGATGATGATGATGATGACGACGATGATGACAACAATGATGATCAGAATAAGAATGGGTCCTCAATCATGTATCTTCTACACAGACCTGCCATTTGATACCATTGTGATTTAACAACACTGAAGCCGAATTGTAGCCTTTTTTTTTTTTTTTAAATCTCCATGTTTGTCTCTTTCTGTAGAAATAAGGATTGCCTCAAAGTTTGGGAACTATTTGAACAGGCTTTTGTGTACAAGGACCCGTGCAGCATGACGGAAGAAGATTATCAGCCTTTAATGGAAATGGCAAGACAGTCCATCCCGTGCAACAAGGTTTGTTGTGCCAGTTGACTTCCAGAGCAAGGGCCACGTCTGGGGTTCCCAGTTTGCCTTGGCTTCTTCAGAAAAAGACAGTAGATTTTTTTTTTGCCTTTCAAGGACTAGTTAAGGGGAGGAGCTGTCCATTATTCACAAGCATATGTTAAACGTGAAAGTACATTATCAGAATGATTTATATTGTTAGCATCATAAAGTTGTTACATAAGTTATTTGCAACATTTACATCATGATGTCATTACCCAGAAGATGTTAACTGGTTCTCAAAAATGGTCCGTTGTGTGAGAAGTTGGTTTCATTATTGCAGATGAGTGGTTCAGCTCCCCATCTTGCTATTCCATTTTATACTAGACTCCTTAATTTTATTTGTGTAAGAGGTTGAAAAGATCAAACACCATAACAGTTGTACTGATTTTTGTTTCTGCAGCAGAATTCTTTTTTATCCTCTGCAGCCCTTTCCATCCATCCATCCATTCATCCATCCATCCATCCATCCATCCATCCATCCATCCATCATCAGAACAGAAATGTCTTTTTCTGTGAAAAAGACTTCTGTGTTACTATCCATTTTCAAGGTGCTTTTGAATAACCTTCAAAATATTTTGGTGGTATTTTTTATTTTACCTTCTAATTGCCAGGTGCCCAAGGATAAACTGCTCTTATATTCCTTTCTCCATATTTGAAATATGGACAGGCAGTCTACCTACCTGTCCATATTTTAAATTGGTCAATCTTCTTTGGGGATTATATTTGAGAGGTGTGAGATGTCAGAGAAGATATAGCTCATTGCATAAATTATTGTACAATGAATGAGATAACATGCACACATCCTTCTTGGCTTCCTTGCAACCAAGATAAGTGACATGATCCCAGATTCCAGGTATAAGAATTTTCCCAAAGTTCTTTATTAAAAGAAAATGGAAAGCAAGTTTCTTTTTGCCATCAAATGGGAACAGTTGAAAAAAGCAAGATTTAGCAGACAATGGATAACTTTCAGGGAGAATTGTTCCTTAACTGTTGGGTTTGAGTGTGTGTATGTGTGGGTCTTGAAACCACGCTGACATTACAGCTTTGTTCTATATTGTTGGTGGTACTATCATTGTAGGATGACATCATAGGCATCTATTAGAAGCCACAATGAGGTCTCAACCAGCATGATGTCATCAAGTAAATTATGTGAATTTGTGATATCTCTCTCCCCGCCCCCCTTTGTTTGCCCTCTGTGAATAGCCTAGGGGTTAACATTAAGCATTTATTGAATTAGATGATAGAGCATATAATAAAAAAATACCCTAATCAAGAAAGATGTAGTAAGCAATAGACCAAAAGATGCAAAATAAAAACATTGAAGTAGGTTAATAATAGACTTATTAGTGATAATATTTAATAAACCATTCCCTAAGAGATGCTTCCTTAAAAAGGGCTGCAGTTTCCACACATTACGCATGCTGGTCTGGGAACACACAGATCAGAATGGAATGAAGGCCTATCTGACAATGTTCCAGAAGCCCTGGTACGTCAAGAAAATAAGTCAGTGGTGAGTGTCTCAAGTTTAAAACTTTGGTTTGAAGGTGTCATCAGATATCACATTTGTTTCTGTCTCAAGGCATGAGAGTTTCACTTCCGTTGAGGGGCACCATAGTTGGGTTGGGCTTAGGACATCAGTTGGCCTTCATCTGTGCCTGTATTCCAGAATAAAATGGCTGAGGTCCTCTAGATTACTCAGAGTTATAACGCTTGATAGAATTTCCAAATACAGGGGTTTCCATCATTAGCTATGTTAAGATGGCTACATAGGCAACCCCCAGCTCTACCTTGTCCCCCCTTCCACCACTCTCATTTTCCAGTCTTTCTGAGTTTGCACTCTGGTGGGCTCAATACTTACTTATTGCTGGTCTGTATATTTTGCTTAATATTTTGCTTAATTGCCTCTCACAATCATTTGGTAGGGAATAGTCCCCAAGGAAGTGGGAGGGTGGAAAGGGAGTCAGCCCATTGTAACCCATTGGCTAAATCCACACATCATGTGAAATCACAGTTTGTTTAATCAAAGTTTACCTGAAATTGGATTATATAAAATTGGATTAGATCCACATAACACATTAAATCATTTTTAATCACCCTTATTGGCTTCAGTCATGGAGAAAATCTATGTGGTCTCTAGAAGTCAAAAATGACTTGATGACACATAATCAATCAAATGTTCACACAACACGCTAAGCCAACACCCAAGGAATCACAGTATGGCTTATTACAATATGTGCTCTGCTGAGATGACACATAAGTTGTCACAGTTGCTGCACTGTGGCCTTTCTTTGAGCAGTATGATACCAGGCGGATGAGTTTTTTTATATGTCATCTGACCTGCTGGGTAGTGCCCCCACGTGTGATGGAAAATGCTGCTGAAAGGGTCTCTACAGCATAGGGCAAATAGGTCAAGTGGGTGGCTGTGATGGTGTGATCAAAGTTCAGCCTGGTTTTTATGTGCATTATGTGACACACATAAAAACCAGATGTAACTTTGATTACACCATTGCAACCACCATCTTGCCCATGCCCCAGAGACACTTCTATCAGCTGTTGAAATCTGTGTCCTGGCATTACATCATCAGCTTCTACAGAAGAGCAGTGATTTTCAGCTCAGGCAGCAAAATATCCTGAATATACCCCTAAAAAGTGCACTGTCCCTGCATTTACAGGAATATAAGTAAAGATTTTTTTGCAATCTCTGGTCAAATGTACCATATGTGCAATTGTTAGGAAGAAATGTATGGGAGAAAATATCCAAGTGCTATGGATCCAGCATATTTATCTGTACATCTATTTATTTATTTTGAAAGTGGACGTGCTGCTCCTCAATGAAAGTTTTTTCCAAGACAACTTACCGCATTCTAAAATTTCCAAGCCGAAAAGCAAAGAGCAGAAACAAATGATGGAAAAGTTCCACCAATGCATAACGTTTTTTAAAAGAAGTGCAAGCATATTAAAAAAAATAATTTGGTTAATGCTGAAAGATGAAAAATGTCCCTTCCTTTTACTTGCAGTCCTTGTTCTGGAGCAAAACGCATGACCTGGTGCATCGTTACACGAAAATAAATAATGATTTCCTCACCTTGGAAGATACTTTGCTAGGCTACATAGCAGATGGGATTTCCTGGTGTGGAAACCCCTTCGATTCAGGTAGGAAAAGCAGAATTCTTACCCAGGCAGTGGGTTGGAGGGATGGTGGGAGGCAGAAATCGTATAGTATTTGGTTCTTGAAGAAGGATTGAAAACAGAATTGACCCCAAGAAATTGAAAGGGTTATTTTTACAAGGAAAATGTCAGTGAAAATACGGCATTTATTCAGTCTATAAATGCGTCTTAAACAAAGCATTTTTTCCAGTAGAGGGAGAAAATAGAACCTTGATGGATCCCGAGTGCCATTTATAGAAGGACAATAACATTAAATATTAATCCTTCCCATCTCACCTTTCATAAGTTTTCCATGTTATATTTATGTCCAAACATCTCTCTTTTAGGAGTCAACTATGAATCCTGCCCGAAATGGACTGAGTGTGAAAGTAACCCCAGTTCAGTCTATTGGAAATTGGCATCCAAGATGGTATGTTCTGTCGATCTCTTCTCAGCCTCTGATACTAAATGTGTGTAATGCATTTCAGTGATATACGCTTTAATGCAATGAACCTGAATCACCAGGCTTGAAGATAACTAGTATTAGTCATGAAATCCAGGCAGTTTCATTATCTCATAGGGAAAAATTAAAATTTCTCAGTGGGTTCAAGGTGCTGATACTGAAAGCTGGGATGAACAGGCTTGTGTTCCACAGGGTCCCCAGCTAGACTTGCTTGGGGGCTATATTAGAAATTTTGCATTAAGAAGTGGAGTCATGTATGCCTGTACCCCAACAGCAATAATTCCACTTCCCACCAGTTCGGCTTGTGATTCTTCTTCAGTGCCCCCTCTCTGCAAGCTAGCTAATTGAATGTACAAAGCACTGGATGTGCCGATGGGTGTCCACCGGAGGGTCCAAAAAGTCAAGATGGCAGCCACAACCATGCAATTGAAGCTCTGCTCCTTTTCTCCGTGCATCGAAGTATGTAAAAAAGGGGCAGAGCTTCAATTGTGCAGACGTAGCTGCCATCTTGATATTTTGGACACATGCCCCCTCCCCAGATGACCCGGTCTCAGACACTGTGGGACTACAAAGCTATTGAAGCTGAGTTACAGTCAGAACCAACAGGCACGGAGGGCATAGAAATGTTAATGAACCATAAATATATAAAGTACAGAACTAAAATGAAACCCAGCAACCATGCAGGGGAGGGAAAGTTGTTATTTTTGCATCCTCACAAACAATAAAGGGGGCAGTTTTGCTAAAAATTTCACTCTCCTAAAGCATGTCCCCTTTCTCCCATTTTGAGTTTTTAACTCTTCTTTGTGTATTTGTTTGTTTTATTATTATAATTACTGTTAAAGTTGTTTGGGTTCCTCTTCCATGAATTTTGTGATAGACTGAAATGGTTTTCAGACAGCATTGATGTAGGTGGGTAAGTCTTGTTATATTTTAGAAATTGTGGTGCAGAAATTAATGCTGCAGAAATAAGGCATTCAAACATTTGTTGTATCTCTGGTAACACAAATTATTAACCAAATATCGCTTAGATCATTCGCTGGTAGTAAGGAGTAATGTTCCTCCTTGTTTTAGTTTGCAGAAGCATCATGTGGAACAGTACAAGTGATGCTCAATGGATCAACAGCATCTGGAGCATTCAGAAAAAGCAGGTATTTTCTATCCATCCATGTGCTTAATATGTTTCTAAAATGAATGAAGAGAGTTTTCTTCACCATTTTTCACCGTTTATTTGTGGATACTTCTGACCTAGCATCGATGGTGTCAGCAAGGTATGGTCAAAAAAGTAAAGATAGCAGCCACTGTGGTGCTCATTTTTATGTGCCTCTCACGCATGACACACATTAAAAAAGGGCAGAGCTTCCATTGCACCATGGTGGCTGCCATCTTGATTTTTTTTACCATGCCCCTGCAGATATACCTGGGGCCAGGTATGGCTTCTCTGGCGCTGGGATGAGCAACCTGCCTGTAGCCTCCAGCTCTCAGCCTGATTGATGGTAAGTGGTAAGTTCAGATGCCTGTCAAGAATGAGTTGTCCTTTCCCTGGGAAGGAAGAGAAAGGAAGAAGAAGTGGAAGGAAATAGAAAGGGAGAGAGAGAAGGAATTTAAAATATGGGGGAGGGGTGAAAAAGAGAGAGAGAATATAGCTCAGCTCACCACTTGCTTCAGTAGCAACCACCATGGACTTGCAGGCCCCAGTAGGTTCCTTCTGCTGAAATGCTTGAAAATAAAAAGGAGAGCCCCTCCTTCTCTAAGGTGTCAAAAAACAAAATAAAACAAATACAAACAAACAACCATACAAAGAGTTCATAATAAACAAACCAGTGTTAATATTTGCAATAAAACTCAACACAGCATGATTAATAGGGAAGAAAAGCATGGGTGAGGACAAGGCAGGGAACATCACTTAAAATTCTGGGCCACACTCTGTTCATTTTGTTAATGCCAAAATTGAGCAACTTCCTCTATGCATTGTGCTAAGCCATATTGTGGGTCCTTTGTTTTCTTCTTAGCTTTCTGTGTGAGGTCGCCCACTATGGCTGAGAATTACTTGACGAGCATCTGACAAGCTCATCCACCATTGTATGTGGAGCATGGCAAGTGCACAGATCCACCTGTTGAAGAGTAGGGATGTATAAGGACCCATAAAGATCAAATTAGGGCCTGTTTTCTCTTCTGAAAAATATAAATATATGTACATCCAGTAACAAAGGAGTTATATTTTAATATTTTGACCTGATCTATTTGTTGAACCAAGAAAAGGTTTTGAATATGTTTCTCTGCTTTTGCTCTTTCAGCATTTTTGGCAGTGTTGAAATTGTTAACTTAAACCCAGAGAAAGTTTCCAAGATGCAGATTTGGCTAATGCATGACATTGATGGACCTCAGAGGTATGTATGGTTAGCCTTCACAGAATATAGCACTGCTTTATAGCCGCTGTTTTGATTAACATATGTGAGATGGGCAGCTATATAAATTTAATAAATAAATAAGTAAAATATATATCCAAATGACTTCTTGTTTCTCTTTCCCTAAATGATTCCTTCTTCCTTAATCGTGGTGATCTGTCTTTAGAATTACAGCTGAGGCACCATTTAAAAAGAATGGTGTTTATTAATTATACATTCATACCTACCACTATATAATTTTATTTTAGCATAAGCAACATCATGAAAATAGGGGATGAGAAACAGTAACCCCCCAAAATTGAAGGTAAGAGATGAGGAAAAAGAAGAGAAAATATAGCTACAACTCACTGACCCCAACACATCCACTAGGCCACCCCATATCTTTCTAACCTTACAAAGGAGCCTTCCTTCCACCACAGCTGCAGACATTTTCTTCTTAAACTTCTCATCTCACTCTTTCTCTAGATTTCCTTCATTCGACCCAACCATTATAAGCACTAGCTTTACCTCATACACATGTGTGTGTAATGTCACAACACATGTGCCAAAGGATGGAGCTGGCATCACAATGTTGCAATGCTTATTTCATCATTTGTCCCCCTTTGCCATCACCACAAACGTCCATGCCAACTATGACTTTCTCATTTTCTTCTTCCTCTCAACTCATTCAGTCTTCCTCCGTATCTTGGTTTTGCAACTCAATTCTCATTCTCTTTCTCTCACCAAGCCACCTCAACATGCCTTTTTCATGTTGCTCATCCATTTCTGTGGGCAGCCCATGTTCCTTCAGCACCCATTCATTCTTGACAGCATCCCTTCTGGATTTAGGATGCATGTTTCTTGAGTACCCCATTCCCATTGTATTCATGTTTATTTTTGTTTCTCCTGCCATATCCAACTCTCACTTCCCTACAAGGGTATGATGACCACAACGGTGCGATTGAAGCTCTGCTTTTTTATGTATGTTGCATATGTTACATATATAAAAAAAGAGGCAGGACTTTGATTGTATGGTGTGGCTGTCATCTTGACTTTTTGAACCCCTCTCTGCAGACACCCCTGCTCAACAGCCTGCTTAGAAGAAAAATTGAGTCTGCAAACTCCTGCCCACTATAAAGCTACACTTGCTCTTGATCACCTCTGGGACACTTTCAGACAGTCATTTTTCTCAACAACTTCTCAGCCCACTTAACAAACTAATCCCTCTATAGTTTTTGCATTCATTCTTGCTGCTTTCCCCTTTGCACTGGGGAACAATGACAGCATTTTTCTGATTATCAAGCATGGAGGCAATCTTCATGCACTAAGCAAGCTGCAGGACCACTCCATAAAACAGGCTACATCTGTATTTTAACATTATTCCAGTTATACCATTTCTGCCTGCAACCTTTTTTAGTATACTCCTGGCTTTTACAACTTCTTTTCATCAATATTTTCTGGGCACTAACATTGATCTCATTTTAGCCATTCCACTCTTTGACATGTCACTCTCATTCCTCTACAGATCTGTAAAACATTCCTTCCAGCATTCCCTACTTCAGTTTCATCCCAAATCACTTCATCACTTTTATTTTTGATTCCATTCACTAGGCTAGAAACACCTTGTTCAGACATCTTCCAGAACCATTTTTATTTCCATCAAAGCCACTTGGCATTTTCTCTTCCTTTGCTCTCACTGACCAATTTTTGCAACTATCTTCCTCTCCTGGTGCGCATTGCTGCCATCCTCTTACCGGCCTTTTTGCCCATCCACTGTTTCTTTCACTTCATCATTTCACAAGCCTTTTTTCCTTATGTCCCATTAGCATAACTCCATTTGCTTCTTTGATTCTCTGTAACATAATTCTTTTCACTGTCTTCCAAGCAGCATCCACGTCTTTCTTCTTTATGTCCTCTTTCTATTCATTCCTGAGGGAGATTAATCCATCTTTGAATATTTGTTCATAGAAGAATATTTTTGCATTCATTCCACTTTTTACTCTTTTTTCTATTTTTTTCCTTCTACGTCCATTTTCACTCCAAGATCTACTGTTGACACTAGCAACGAATGATCTGTCTCATAATCAGAACCTCCATCACCCTTGTATCCTTCACTACTTCTCTCAACCTTTCTCAGACACAATCAGATCAATCATGCCTTTAAACTGATTTTCATTCCTTTGCCATGCATCCATGAGAATAGCCTTATGCTTAAACCAGACCTTTTCCTATGCAGATATTCATCTGTTACCATTTTAATTCAGTCTTGGGTCTCTGAATGGCCCAATCATTTTTTCTATTTTCTCTAGTCTTCTTCCCATTCATCCATTCATGTCATCTAACAGAATTATTTTCCCCCAGATTGCCTTTGACCCCCAAACTCATCCCAGGTTCTTTCCATATCACTGTTCACTGGAGCATAATATAGAACTATCTTCAATCTATGGAGTCTTACTTTCATACACACTCACAACTTCTAGAAGATGCTAAATGCCGGATTTAGCCATAATCTAAACAAGTGACGGTTTAGGGCCGCACAATCTGCAGGGCCTCACAAAATTTCAGATTTGTTCTTTTTTGAGGGGGGGCTTTTAGAATTTTATGTGGCTTTTATGTCTACTGTAGTTTTTAAAATCTTATGCAGCAAATTTTTATCTGTGGTTTTAAAATGGCTTTATATGTAGTTAAAAGGCATATATGCAGTATGTTTTCATTTTTTTTTTGAGGTAACCTAAGGTCCTGTTCTGGTATGCACCTTTGTGAGACTGTCTAGTGTAGTTTAACAAGGGGCCTCTAAGCTTTATATAGCTTAGGGCCTCACCAAATCTAAATCTGGCACTGACACAAATCCATAGTTTCTGGCATTTATTTTAGCTCCTCCATTCATAATTTTCTATGCTTTCAGTTCTCTGCATATATTCCTCAACTCTGTCCACAAGATGGGGCCAACTTCATTCAGATCTGTTACATCCTTACCTTTACATTTCACAGGCACATACATATCTGTGTTTCCATTCTTCCATCATTTATTTCATGAATTAATTCAACTACTTCACCATTTACTCCTCCTACATCCCAAGTCTCAATTTTCCATACACTATGATCGTTACGAGATGGTCCGTAGGTACAGACTTCTACTGCCCATCATGTCTTTGGTCAGTCAAGGCTTTCAGTTAATGCTTTTTGCTAATTTAGAGAAGGTGTAGACTAAATTATCAGCCTATCTCATGCCTGTACCACATGTAGCATTCCCTGCTAACAATAAGGAGAGTACTGATCAGTCCTGCCCTATTTTGGCCAGTGTATCATACGTGCAGCTAATGCTCAGTTTAACTCTAGCATGCTCACACTATTTATGCAAGCTACGGCCTCTGATCCAAAGACTACCTTGCAAGCCAACATACAATGTTGCCTGTATCCCAGCAACTTGGAAGTACATGCAGCATGCTGACACACCTTCACCCACACAATGGGTACATTATTACTGAACAATAACCACTGTATTGAGAGCCAGTTTGGTATAGTGGTTAAGCCACCAGGCTAGAAACCAGGAGACTGTGAGTTCTAGTCCCACCTTAGGCATGAAGCCATCTGGGTAACCTTGAACCAGTCACTCTCTCTCAGCCCTAGTAAGGAAGCAATGGCAAGCCACTTCTGAAATCTTACCAAGAAAACTACAGGGACTAGTCCAGGCAGTTGCCAGGAGTCAAAAACTACTTAAAGACACAGAGAGAGAGAGAGAAACCATTATATTTATTATTTAAGAAGCACTTTTTTATGCATGTGGCCTTGTAACAATGTCTGTGTCATCCCAACCTAAATTCTCCAGCAAACTATTGTTGACTTTGAGCATTCATTTTCCTATCCAATCTACTTGTTGAAAAGCATCACCTTCCTTGTGTCCATCAGGACTCATCATCAGCTGCCAAGAAAAATGCCTTTACCAGAGGTCACAGGAATCCAGAATAAACTGGGTAAAATGCAAGATGCCTGGCTGAGTGCCAGGGCAGACAAAATATAGGGATACACTGATAGAAATTACTTGAAACGGTTCTATGAAGCCCTTAACAATCTCTACGGACCTCAGTCTCTTGGGAGTTCCCCCCTCCTGAGTAGAGATGGTACAACTCTCATTACAGAGAAAACTCAGATCCTGCAGAGATGGGCTGAAGACTTCAAAGCTGTCCTCAACTGACCATCATTTAATAACAATGTGATAGGCAGGTTGACATCAACAGTGCCATGGATGACCCACAGGTAGTAGCTGAAGTCATGAAAGCTGTCAACCAGCTATGCAATGGCAAAGCCTCAGAGGCAGACACCATACCTGCAAAGATATACAAAGTCGGTGGTCCTGTATTTATAGAGAAACTCAATGAGTTATTCCAGAATTTTTGGAAGCGAGGATCTATTCCTCAGGAACTTAAAAATGCATCCATCGTACACCTCTACAAGAGGAAGCCACTTGACAAGTATGTGACAACTACCAAGGAATCTCGCTGCTCTCCATCACAGGAAAAACCCTTGCAAGAGTTCTGCTAAATCATCTGGTCAGTCATCTGGAGCTGGGCCTGCTGCCAGAGTCGCAGTGTGGCTTCCACAAAGGTTGTGGGACTATTGACATGATTTTTCTATGCACCAACTTCAGGAGAAATGTCAGAAGCAGAATCATGAACTCTGCACAACTTGACCTCACAAAAGCCTTTGATACTGTCAGCTGACAAGGCCTGTGAAGGATCATGTCCACATTTGGCTGCCTTGCCAAATTCATTCAGGTGGTATGCCAGTTTCATGATGGCCAGGGTGTTGGATGGCAGAGAATCCTCTAAGGCATTCCCAGTCACCAATGGGCTGTGTACTTGCACCCACACTGTTCAGCATGTTTACTGCCATGCTGAATGATGCCTTCCTGGACAGTGATCAGCCTCAAGTACAGAGTGGATGGAAAGTTCTTCAATCTGAGGAGACTTCCATCTATTACCAAAGTGAAGGAAACTGTTCTGAAAGACTTCCTCTTTGGCAAAGAGGAAGTCTCTCAGAACATTTTCCTTTACTTTGAATGCTGACTCAGAGCCAGAGATGCAAGTCAGCATGGACAAATTATCTATGGCTTGTGACAACTTTGGACTCACCATCAGTATTCAAAAGTCTGAGGTTATGCACCAGCCTGCTCCACATGTACTGTACACAGAACCCAGAATCACAGTTAAAGGGCAGAAACTATGGGCAGTGGACCAGCACAATTACCTTGGCAGCACCCTCTCTTGAGCAGTGACCATTGATACAGAAGTTAACTGCAGAATAGCAAAGGCAAGTTCTGCTTTCAGTAGACCCCGCTCCACTGTGTGGGAACATTGGTCTTAATCCAGCAACAAAATTGAAGGTCTGCAGAGCCATGGTACTCACTACCCTCCTGTATGCCTGTGAAATGTGGACTGTGTATCAAAAGCATGCAAGATGGGCTTAACCATTTCCACGTGATTTGTCTTCGCAGAATACTAGGCATCAGAAGGCAAGATAAAGTACCAGACGCTGAAGTTCTTGCTAGAACAAGTCTACCATCTGTCCACACATTGCTGGTGAGAGCACAGACTTAGTAGGCAGGTCACATCATCCGTATGCCAGATGAGCACATACCCAAGCATCTCCTTTTTGGGGACTCTCTGCTGGAAGAAGTTCTCATGGAGGACAGAAGAAACATTACAAAGACACACTAAAGGCTTCCCTGAAGTTGTTTAACATAGACTTGACCACCTAGGAAACGCTGGCACAAAACCGCCCTACCTGGTGTGGCCTCATCCACAAGGGCTGCCAAGCCTACGAAGCAAGGCGCACTGCGGAAGCACAACAAGCATGAGCTGCGCAAATCTAGAGCTATTAGTGCAACAACTGCAGTGCCTACACATGTCTGCCCAGCATATTCCAGGACATTCCGTGCACGAATTGGCCTGACCAGTCATCTTTGGACACACCACATTTGGTCTTAACGTGGCTAATGGTTTGTTGAGGTTTTCATCAACCATGGGGCACGAACTTATATCCTATACCATCCCCACTTTGTAGAAACCTAGATTTTTTATTGCATTCTTGGCTTCTGCCAATAGAGGTCTCTGTCCCCCATGAATAGATTTTGCTTGTCTTAAAATGCAGCAGTGATGTACGGTATTTTTTATTACTATTACTATTACTATTATTATTAGTCACAGAGTCAGACAGATGTTTAGACTGGATTTGGCACTTTTATCCACCTATCGAGTCCTTCCGAAGGACCTGGGATAGGCAGATGTTATTGTTTGATGATGTTGAAGGTTATCATCTCAGGATGTAAGCTGTTCCAAGTAAAGCTGCCTTTTGCAATTGACTGATGATGATTTTGTCAATATTGATTGTGTTCAAGTGGCACTCCAGATGTTTCGGGATTGCACCTAATGCAATCCTATAACTATTGGAACTATCTTTGCTTTCTTTTGTCATAGTTGCTCTACTTCTATTTGCAGGTCTTTATATTTTGTGATTTTCTCCAGTTCTTTCTCTTCTATTCTGCTGTCTGCAGGTATTGCAATGTCCACTATCCAGACTTTTTTGTCTAGTTGCTCTACTTCTATTTGCAGGTCTTTATATTTTGTGATTTTCTCCAGTTCTTTCTCTTCTATTCTGCTGTCTGCAGGTATTGCAATGTCCACTATCCAGACTTTTTTGTCTTTCTTATCAACAGTTGTTAAGTCTGGGGTGTTGTGTGGCAGGTGCTTGTCTGTTTGAATTCTAAAGTCCCAGAGCACTTTAGCTGCTTCATTTTCTATTACTTTGTCTGTTTTGTGGTCCCACCAGTTCTTGCTTGCAGACAAATGTTGTTTCTGGCAGATACTCCAATGCACCATTGTTGCTACTTTGTCATGTCATTGTTTGTAGTCAGTCTGTGCAATCTTCTTGCAGCAGCTGACTAGGAGGCTCACTATTTCTTCAGCTTCTTTGCAGGGACGGCATTTGCTCTCTGTTGCTGTCTACTCAATTCTGGCTTTATATGCATTTGTTCTTAAGGCTTGGTCTTGTGCAGCCAGAATTAGCTCCTCCATCTCTCTTCAACTTTCCTGCTCTTAGCCATTGCCAGGTCTTGTTGTTATCTGCTTTACCTGCTAGTTTTTTTGTGTACTGGCCATGTAATACCTTGCCTTGCCATGTCTCTTTTCTGTTCTCAATTTGATCTTTCTCATAGGCCAGTTTGGTTTCTTTGGTATTCAGTAAGCCTTCATGGTATACTAGCTGCAGTGGATCTTCTTCACTGTCCTTCAGATATTCTTCCAATGTCCTTTTTTCTTCTTCAATTATCTGGTGTGCTTTTAACATTCCACACCCACATATGCTCCTTGGTAAGTAGAGTCTGTCAACATCGCTGCAAGGATGAAGGGCATGATTCATTGTTATTATTTTTATGGTCTTCCTATCCAGGGCTTTTAGTTCTGCTTGAGTCCAGTCCACTATTCCAGCTGTGTATCTAATGACTGAAAGTGCCCAGATGTTAATTGCCTTGATGGAATTTCCTCCACTATGTTTAGACTTTAAGATCTTCTTCACTCCTCTCATGATGTATTCACAACTAATCTTCTTCTTGACTTCAGTGTGCTTGATGCTGTCAGCTTGAAGGATGTCCAGGTATTTGTAGTGATCTTCTTCATCCAGACTTTTGATGTTATTTCCATAGGGCATCTTGGTTCCCTCAGTTTTTATTATTTTTCCCCTGTTGATGGCAAGGGTGGCACATTTGTCCAGTCCAAACTCCACTACAATATCTTGGCCGTATATTTAGACAGTGTTGAGCAGTGATTCCATTTCAGATGGTGTTTTTCCATACAGCTTCAGATTGTCCATATAAGGGAAGTGAGATAACCTGGCAGATGTTTTTGATGTTTGATAGCCATGGCCTGACTTG